CATAGTTTATCTATTATGTTGAAACCCACTCGATGATCCCCAATAGTTTTGTCTATGTATTGTGCATAGTGGGGGGTGTAGTCCAGTTGTGTCCACTTGGCAAGGTGGCCACTGATTGGCCTATTGGACCTCCCCTGGGTGATTATGATGATGAAGAATTTGGGAATGAAGATTGACAGGGGAAACCGAAGTACTCAGAGAAAACCTACCCCAGCGCCACTTTGTCCACCACAAATCCCACTTCACCAGACCCAGGTTTGAATCCTTGTTGCCACAGTGGGAGGCCAGGGACTAACTGCTTGAGCTGTGGCACTGTGTTTGTCTACACAGTGTGCCCAGGATTTGTTAGGACTCTTCCCCCCCCAGCAATGCCATCTGTTGGTGAGTTGTGGCATTAAGATTCTTGAAGAATCAGCTGTGGCTGTCTACAATTTCAAAGTGCAAGCATCGCTGCATCATGTGTTCTGACCTTGAATCTAATAGTACTGTTCTGACACTTGTCAGAAAATGGCTTTTGAACAGACAACCAACATCAAATGTTAGGCAAAAGAGCCAGAGAGGCATACGAAATGATGAATAGTGTGTATGGTAGTGATTGTTCGAGTTGCTCAAACATTTTTCAATGGTATGCTGTACTTCGTGATGGCAGGGAGGACATTGAAGATGCTCCACGTGCACGTCGAGAACAAGTCGCACTGAAGAAAATGTGAAAAAAGTGACCGAAGTGCTTGCATCGGACAGATTATGGTATGCTGTACTTCGTGATGGCAGGGAGGACATTGAAGATGCTCCACGTGCACGTCGAGAACAAGTCGCACTGAAGAAAATGTGAAAAAAGTGACCGAAGTGCTTGCATCAGACAGATTTGTTTCCGCAAGACTTATCAAGGAGCTTTTGGGAATACCAAAAAGTACTGTGCATCAAATTTTGACCGAGGATTTGGGCAAACGGAAAGTCTGTGCGCGGTTTGTACCGCTGTCAGGCAATGAAAAACATGCCTGAGTGGAACACTGCAAAGACATGTTAGGTGGGCCCAAAGTGATACAAAATTTACAAAATCGATTGTTACTGATGACGACACATGGTGTTTTCTATATGAGCCTCTCACAAAGCAGCAGAGTGCAGCCCGGTTGAGCCCAAAGAAGCCGAAACCAAAGAAAATGTGCATGCAGAAGAGTCACGTAAAGACACTGCTAACTGTTTTCTTCGATTCCAAAGGAATCATTCACAAGGAATTTCTGCCAGAAGGTCAAACAGTGAATTCTGATTATAATCTTGGCGTTCTCAATCGTTTGTGGACGAGGATTCTTCGAATTCGACCTGAATATCGAGAGCAAGGTTCCTGGTCGCTCCTCCACGACAATGTCCCACCTCACAAATCAAAGATCATGCACAATTTTTTGGCCAGAAAAGGGATCACAGTCCTTGATCATCCTCCATATTTGCCAGATTTGGCACCAGCAGATTTCTGGTTGTTCCCAAAAGTTAAGTTGTCGATGAAAGGAGACCGTCACGACACCATCCAGGAGATCCAAAGGGAATGTACCACAGTTTGAAATACTATTCGACAAAAGGAGTACAGTGACCGTTTTCAAAAACTTTTCAGTCAATTCCAGCTATGTATTGCTTCAGAAGGAGAATATTTTGAATAAAAAGAGTTAAATTTTGAAAATAATTCATGTCTTGTATTTTTAATGAACACAGTCTTAACAGAACCTGGACACACTGTGTATGTATGGTCTCAACCTTTGGAAAAAGATATTGGATAAAATTTTGCATGATGTTGATAGGTCTGGATACTGCAAGTGTCATAAAATAATCCACAGGAAAACAGCAGACAGGGTTGTAAGATTTGAGATTTTCAGAGCAGTGACTATGAAGAAAGCAGTCAGCAGACAGGGATTGTTGCAGTTGCCACAGTAATGTTGAAATAGATAGGACATTGTCTGCATTCATGGTACTGCAGAGAACATTTTTGGATCTGGAAAGGTTTCATATTTAAGGCTGTATCCATTTCAGAGATACATTTGTTCAGAAGTGTGACTTAATTTAGAAAAGCATCATATTGTCACGTGACTGAGAGTCTATAGATGGGGTTTGGATTGGTAATTGGGTTTATTGAACACTTCCAGATTGTAACTACAAGTAATTGTAGTGCTGTCACTAATTCATGCACTGTGCAGTTCACTACAGCACGTACTAAGTCTTCTTAGTCTACAGTGTCTTCACCAGTCATTGCCTAGTAATGGCTTCAATGGTGGAAGTTCCCCTTCCACTTGGTTCCCTAACTGTCCCCATGCCTCAGCCACCAGCTTTACTGCAGCAGTCCTCTAACTCACTCATTCACTCACAACCAACTCACTCCACTCCACTGTACTCAGCTCTTACTATTTGCCTTGCTTATCATATCTCAGCATGGACCGCATAGAAAACACAGTTTGTCTCATGTGCCTTTGTTGCATGCACAGCATGCATGGACCATACAAGAAACACTGTTCTTGTGTTGCTGTTCATTGGTGCATGTTAGAAATCTGTTGCCTAGCAATGGCCATAGTTTACAGAGTCATTACATAGCAATGGATCTACATGCTACAATATTGTAGCATGTAGATCCATTACTAAGTAGTGACCACAAAACAGATTCCCATGATGAGTTCACTCATAGCAATAGAGGAACTGTTGGAAACAGTGTTTTCTGCATGGTCCTTTCTGAGACATTATAACTGAGACAAGTTTAGAAATGGATTGCCACTTGTAAAGTAACTTTGACCTGGAGTTAGTCAGTTGTAAGGCAGTCTGTGCAGAAAACAGTTAGTGCAGTTGAGAGCCAGCAGGCATCAAAGTGAGCATGGAAGCTGAAGAATCTCCACTGTTAGAAGCTGTTACCAGGGAATGACTGCTGAAGACACAGCAGACTGAAAAGATTAGCATGTGCTGTAGTGATTTGTAAAGTGTGGAGATTAGCGATAGCTTTATAATTTCTTGTAGTTCTGCTCCAAGTGGTCAATAAATCCATTCACCAATCCACACCCTGTCTATAATCACTCATACACGTGACAACATGTTAACAGAAGCTGTTGTCCACATCCATTGTATGCACTATTCTTTCTTGATACTAAATGGTTTCAGTGTATTATTATGACACAGTTTGCTCACCCATAAGAAATAGGTGTCTGTAAGAGCTATTTCTGTCATTTAATTATATAATTGGGTCATGTTATGTTGCATTTATTGTCTTAAATGGGTAAGCTCATGTGATTGTTTGCTTTGTATGAACTTTCCTGTTATTGTCACTATGGTGTTTATCATTGCTGTGGTTCTTTTATCAGTATCTGTTTCCTCTTTTTGAATGTTGTTTATTGTTTGTACAATACTTCCTTATCCCATGTGCATCAAATTAGAATACTTCTGCTGTAGCCTTGTGAGTCGAAGAAGGCGATGAAAAGAGAACCCTTTGCCTGGGGGTGTAACTGGGCCACCCTGTCACTGGGAGACATAAATACAGAGACCTAGTCCTCCAGGTTGGGGGTTGGACACAGGGCTGATGATCTTGCTCTGTTAAAAAAGTTAATGTTGCAAAATCCAAAGAAATGAAAATTACATCAAATCTGCCAGAATCTTCTAAGGAATGCTATGGCTGAAAAAGAGTTGATTTGCTACAAATGATGACACTTTCCTATAATTTTTGGCATCTTACTGTTGATAATGTTTATAAATTTACCCTGAATACTGCTTTATTTTATATTTGATTGATTTTGAGATATAAATTCTAATTGAGATGGTTTTCTGCTAGAATCTTTTTGTCACATCTATTCATTTTGTTTTTTGTTTGAAAGTAAAATGGAAAGAACTTAGAATGTTTTGCTAGTAAGAGTCATGACATCTCATGCGTAAACACCTAAGTCCCTTCAACGAAGGACGCTAGAATGTGGCAGACATGCGTCGTCCAGGTTGTCCTAGTGTCAGTGAAGAAGAAGTGTACGCTCTTTCTGTGTTACTGGAGAGTGATCGACGCCATATGATTTGTGAGCTGGCCCGAGAGACAGGATTAGTGCATATGACTGTGCTTCACATTCTGAAGGAACACCTGGGCATGAGAAAAATTGCATCACAATGGGTTCCACATGGTTTGATGGAAATGCAGAAATGCTACGATACGATGCTGCTTGTAACCACTTGGAGTGCTATGAGCACGAAAGAGAGGCTTTCTTATACCATATCATTACGCTGGATGAGACATGGGCCAAATTGTACAAGCCACAAATGAAATGCCAATCGAATGAATGGTGTCATTATGGGTCACCATGAAAATCAAAAGTTTGTCAGAACCCCAGCAATGTGAAAGTTATGTCGATTCTTGTGTACGAGTGTGATGGTGTTATCCAAACACATGCCGTTCCCCGACAGCAGACCGTCAGTGTGCAGTATTACTGTTCATTTTTGGAACACAGCCTACAACCAGCTTTTAAAAAGAAGTGGCGACACTTTCTGCAGAACCATCCATAATTTTGCAGGACAGTGCTCGGCTGCATGCAGCGCAAGCTGTGGCTGATTTGTTCGATTGATGGGGCTGGGAAGTGCTGTACCATCCACCATACTCCCCGGATTTAAGCCCTTGTGACTTTGACTTGATTCCTAAGATGAAAGAACCACTTTGTGGCATTCGCTTCAAAACTGTTCCAGAAGTACTTCAGGCAGTAGGCCGCTCCATTCGAACTATCAACACAACAGGCACTGCTAAAGGTATCCTATGACTTCCACATCATTGTGCCGTGGGTTGTACACAATGCTGGTGACGACATTGAAGGACAGTAAAACTTCAAAACATGCGTCTATTTTGTATCAGTTGTAAATAAATAGTTGTCACTATTAAAGTTCCAACCCTCGTAGAAATTCACCAGGTGAATTCTGAGACAGGAGCTTGATATGTGCCATGTTTATCCCCATATTTATTGGTACTTTTCAGTTTTCATGATAAGCTTCCCATCTGTTTGTTGCAGTCTTTGTATGGAGTGTCCGAGTGCTTTCAAGAAGACAGTGAAGCTGAAAATGAAGGTGAGTTGATATTTTCTAACAAGCAAACTTGACTGGTGTCTGCATCTTAAATCTTGGAGGAGGGGCCTCAGATTCCATTTTTATTTTTCTAAATACAAAATGGACATTTCTTACAATGTTCATGAGTATATTCACGTTTTCTTACTATGCTATATTCCTCCTTAATACAGTTTTCACAAGCTATGATGAGTCGCTGGCTTCCAACTGCGGCGGCCTGGGTTCGATCCCGGGTCTGGTCAAGTGGGATTTGTGGTGGACAAAGTGGCACTGGGCAGGTTTTCTCCGAATACTTCAGTTTCCCCTGCCAATCTTCATTACACCAGTTGCTCCACAATCACCCTCACCTATTATCTGGGGCTGGTACAGTAGGCCAGAAGTGGCTGCAGTACAAGGGACTTAGTCCCACCCCACTAGAAATAAAAAAAAAATACAAGCCATCCTGAGATTCTTAACCAGCATGTATTACTGCAGTGTCATCTTTATGTTGCTGTTTAATATTTTTAGTTAGTTAGTTAGTTAGTTATTTAGAGAGGGTGAGTTTCCCCATGCACCGCGACCAGTTTGATCTATTGTGCTTCCCTCTATGATATTCTACCAGTCTCTATAACCTACCGATAAATGGTGCGTACCATCAGTCCCGCCGAGTAAGCGAGTTTGGCCACTTGCTTAGCGGTGTCTATAATGCTTCCCCCATCTATCAGAGGCCTTAGAGACTATTGTTGGGCGGGAAACGTCCTGGAATTTGGCTCAGTGATCCCCTTTGGGAGTATGAGGTTCTTCTACTTAATATTTTTAAGTAACTTGCTTAATCTTAAAACAGTAATGAATGAATGAAAGTTTCAGATTGAATTTTTAATGGTCATTATACTAATTAAATAATAGTATAACTGTTGTTTCTCGTTTCAGAAGTTATGCCATGTGATGAAGTTGAAACAACAAATATTTTATGGACAGTTATGGACACAAAAAGTGGCACAGTTGCTGTAGAATTCAACTTGATGCCTAAATCTTGTGGGTACACCTCCTACAGGCTTGATCTCTACATGGATGAAAAAGTGACAAATGCAGAAGAATGTGCTAACAGAACCTTGTTTCCATCACGCCATTCAAGAAGATATGCGGAAATACTGAGTCATGACCCAGAAAACAATAAAAATATATCGCCCTGTGGGAAGGTATGTTTCTTCTTGTGGTAGATGGTTCAGTGTTTTAGGTGAACTTCAATGTATGTGTATGAATACATGTGAATATGTGCACTTCAGAGTGATGATTTATTTTATGCAAATACTGTATTAAAATCGATATTCATTTGTAGTGTGACGCCTAGAATTATAGGCATGATTAATCTGTCTTGTTTAAAAATTTTTGTTTCTTAATTGGGCTTGATTGTTGCAGTAATTATATTAATTAATTTAGTTTCATAATTTTGATTCTTGTGTTTCTGGTACCAATAGAAGTAACTTGGGAATACAGAAATATTACATTGCTTTGTTTGGGCTGACATAGTGGGACATAGTCACTATTTCAACAGTCCCGCATCCCATTAATGTTTTACTCAGTATAGTAATATAAGCACGCATATTACCTATTTCTCTGCTGTTATGGTATAGAAATGAGGAGCCAGGATAGCGCAGTCAGTATAGCGACTGGCTGTGGGCTGAACGAATGAGGTGTCAGAGTTTGAATCCCGGTAGGGTGAGGAATTGCAGTGGCCCAGGTTCAAACCAGGGTGTGGTCAAGTGGGATTTGTGGTGGGCAAAGTGGCACTGGGTTTGATTTTCTCCTAGTACTTCAGTTTCCCCTACTAATCTTCATTCCAACAAATTCTCCATCATCATCAATCACCCGGGGCAGGTACAATAGGCCAGTCAGTGCCCGCCGTGCCAAGTGGACCCAACTGGACTCCACCCCTCACTATGCGAATTAAGGGTCAGGAAAGCGGCCTCCGTAGTCTAGAGGTAACATTCCCACCTCATGACTCGTGGTACGCGGGTTTAAACCCGGCGGCGGTCGTGGAATTTTTAAGGGCGGAAAAATTCAGGGAACAAGTCTTCCGGGAGGGACTTTAAGCCGTGGGTCCCGTGTCGTAGCTTTACGGCACGTAAAAGAACCTCATATCTCCAAAGGAGGTCACTGAGCCAAATTCAAGGTCATTTCCCGCCCAGCAGTAGTCCCTAACGCCTCTGATGGGGGAAGCATTATAGATACCGCCAAGCCAGTAGAGGCTGAACTCGCTGGCTCGGTCAGGACTGATGGGACACACCGATATCGGTAGGGTATAGAGACTGGTAGAATATCATAGAGGGAAGCACAATGGACCAATACTGGTCTAAGTGCATGGGGAAACCTACCCTCTCCAATAACTAACTAACTAAGGGTCAGGAATTTTCACTTCTCCATGTTGTCCAGAGGAGCCCTAAGGTCCACCCAACTTCCAATGCAATGGGCACCGCGGCCTCTTTCCTGGGGGTAAGGCAGCCGGCGCTTGAAGCAGACCACTTACCTCCAACTGGTGCCTAGGTCAAGAACAAGTGGATCTACACATCCACTCTCACATATCTCTTCGTGGCATAGTGCTTAATTAGTTAAGCACAGGGACAACTTTACCTTTACCTTTCTATGGTTTAGAAATTGTTTTTGAGTCTGTTTTTGAGACATCATGTGGCTGATGTTAAAAATTCAGGTTTAGTATTTTTTTATTGTTATTTTCTCATCTACACATGTATGAATACATATTTTTATGATTTTCATTTTAAATGTTTCTTGTGTGTATTTTTTTGGGGGGGGGGACAGTCAGTAACCATATCAGCAGTTTACTTTTAAATTTCTTAAGATTCATTTTATTATTATCCTGTCTACATGCAATGGCCTCTTCCCTTGAGATCTTCTGTCAGATAGTTTGTATACATTCTGATTTTCTCCGTGTATGCTCTGCAGCCTACCCATCACAACCTTCTTGATTATCCTAAACCAGCACAGCTACTACACAAACAAAGTCCTGCTCTTGTTATTCTATCACAAGTCGTTGCTAGGTAGCTGCTGCCAACAGTGCAGGTTCCTCATGGCAAATCACAAACTGCTACTGCTCACTTGCAACTCATGACTGCTAACCACTGACTCGGACCTCTGACTGACTAACTTTTTCTGTTGGGCTTTAAAATGTAGTCTGAGTGTGAATTCGCTTAGTGGGGGGTGGAGTCCAACTGGATCCACTTGGCATGGCGGCCACTGATTGGCCTATTGTACCTGCCCCGGTTGATTATGTTGATGGAGAATTTGGTGGAATGAAGATAGGCAGGGGAAACTGAAGTACTCTGAACCCGCCCCAGCGCCACTTTTTCCACCACAAATCCCACTTGACCAGGCCCAGGATCGAACCCGGGCTGCCACGGTGGGAAGCCAGCTACTAACCGCTTGAGCTATGGCGCAGCCTAGTCTGAGTATGAACCACACAGACCTGAACCAGCCTGTGGCATCTCTATAGGAGTTGCCAGACAGGCAATCAGGGACTGGACAAATATGAATCATAAGAAATACGGGGGATCCTTGACGACTCAGGCAAGCAAAGAGACTCATACGAGGACCCTATGCTAAAGGAGCGAAGGAACTGTTGAAGTTAAACAGGAACCAGCTACGATGGGTGGTGGGACTGCTTACAGGACACTATCACCTTAAAGGACACCTCTTCAAACTTGGACTAAGTGATAGTCCCACTTGTGAGAGGTGTCAAGAAGAAAATGAAACAGCCACACACACATCCTGTGTGAATGTGAGGCCTTAGCTTATTTAAGATGATGTCACTTGGTTCAATACTTCATGGAACAAAGTGACTATTTCGACGCCCCCACATACAAAATCCTGCGCTTTATTTGAAGTGCAGGATTGCTGAGGGGAAAATCAAAAGGGGAAGCACAATAGATCACTGTAGGTTGTGGTGTAAGGGCTGAGAGGGCCCACCCCTTGTACAGTCATTCATTCATTCATGAACCACACAGAAGACACTGTTTCCAACACATCCTTTATTGCTGTGCATTGATTCGTTACAGAAATGTATTTAGTGCGCCATTGTCTAGCAGTGGCCACCTCTATTCTGGCTCTCCACCATCATGTCGCAATATCCTTACTAATGTAATTGGTGATTTTAAGGGTACTTACGTCTCTGCTGTGGAATAGTGATACAAAATTAATGTTTTTGTTTACTTTTCCTCATGTCTCTGTGTGATTTAGGCAGTTTGCTTTTAATCATATTTTGAGGCACACTTTGAATAAATCTGTGTTCAGCGGCACTTTTCAGTCTGAGGTATAACTTTCTTTATGCACTCTTTTTTTTTTTCCTGAATGGTATTGAAACTTTATACTACAGGTATACATGGTTGCTACAGGGAATATTTTTGTTTCAGACTGCAGAAGTAAAATTTAATTATGTATTCAGTGGCTGCTATAAGTTGCAATTTGCGCTAATGGAGGATGGGATTCCAGATAAGTACAGCGAATCATTGCCACAATTTGTAGAGACCGAATATAGAAAGGATTTACTTGTTAAAAAGATACCAAGAATCACCAGACAGTATACAACGACACTGTGAGTAATTCGATTGAAATGCTCTCTATTTATTGTTACATATTAAGCAATGATGCACAAGTGCAAATGTCACTTCAGTACTGTTATACAAATTTATAGTTGTGACAAAAGTAATGTTTATATCATCTCTGTATATTACCATTTTTGCTGCAGTTCTGATGAAAGAATCAGATTTTAGAAACATAGTTGAAAAGTTTCTCAGAAGGCACTAATGATGTAAAACATTATCGTCATCATATCTGCTTAAAAGTAAACATGAATTCCCCACTCCACAACAGGTTTTTTGGGGAGGGGCAGCATTTGTGCCCAGCAATTTGAATTACCCAGGAAAACTGTTTACATGTAATGTATATTCACACACAAAACGGGGTATTCTAAACTACTTTAGTGAAAAGAATGATTGTGGGGTGATTAGCAAGTGGTTAAGGCTTAAAACAGTTAATAACACAAAAAATATATATCGTAATTTGTAATTTTTTTGTCACTTTGGGTTTCACTTGATTAAAAGGAAGATGGATGACACCTAGTTCCCTTCAAATGCTTTATTTTATATGATGAGGCTATTATGAACAACAAATTAAGATTTATATAAGATGTCTTCATTCATGTTATTAATTTCTATCTATAAATTCCATTTATATGCTCTCTATGTTAAAATTGTCAAGTATAATCTTAGAGATTCACACCATCACCATGTTCATAATTGTTGATGTGTAGACAGTATTTCATCATCTGGCTCCATAAAAAATTATACCAAACCAAAATTAAATACAGATTTTTCATAGGCATCATATTGTTTTCAATTTACTAAAAAAGTTGCTTTTAAGTGTTGCATGTTTTGAGACATCTATTACCACACAGTATTTCAGAAACTTACCTTAATATAATGTATTATGATTTAAATATTGCTGTGTTACAACAAATATATTAGTAGTAGTTAACTTAGTGGAATAAGCTGACTTGATTTGAGTAAGCATGTTGATGTTGATGTGCAGTATTTTTATTTCATCTTAGGTGTGGTTTTGGACTGAACTTTCAGAGTTGTTCTAACACTTATTTATATGTTCACATTTTAAGGTTTTGGCATAGTCAAGTGCTGATACTTCGCTCTTGGTGAAGGATAACATGTGGTCCAGGTCTCTTCAACTGGTAACCTCACACTTAAACTTTTTGTTTTTGTTCAAAACACAGGCATTTAAACCTTAATATTCTTACTGGGGGTTTAATAGGCTGTGTACACACACGTAATGCATAATGTCTGCTCATTGTTGCATGATGTGTGAATGAGAAAAGTTTTTCCTCCCCCTGGATAGGGCATTCAAATTGTGTTTGTATTTTATTATAAAAATGTTATAAAAATCCATATAACATTTATTGATTGTTGCATAAAAGTTTCCACTGGAATTTATCTTTTTAATTTCCAAGTTTGGAATGTGTTACTGAACTCTTTCTTACGGTATCATATCCTTTCATATTAACAGATTGTTAGAGTGGTGTGTACAGTATAAGAAATTGCTGTCATTGAAAATATGAAATGAACAGTGCTTTAAGATGCAGTATTTAATTGCTGGACATTAAGTTTGATTTCGCTGTAGCAAGAAAAGAGCGAAGGGAGCAGTTTGCTGCCTAATGTGTAAGAACTGTGTGCAAATTATATTTCTGGTAGTTACTTCAGACTTGACTAATAACACAATGCACGATTACTAACCACTCAACCGCTGTACTTGGTATAGAGGTATCTTGTGATATCATATGAAATGTTTCTTTCCTTGGTTGAAGAGACTTGGTTTATTCCTTTCAGGGTTATAATGAGATGAATGTTAGCACTTTGCACCTAATAGTGCTTATCACATTGTATTACAATGTATGCACTAGTCACACTTGTCATATGTTATGGTGGAACAGAAATTTCTAACTGTGTAGTTTAATTTCATCATGTATGCTTATCCACTGATAACATCACACTCCACCCACATTCAGGTACTGTATTTTATTGACGTTGTGGGAACAACCTCTGGTTGCCCCTTAGGCACTCAGACCTCTACTGGGGTCATTCTGTGCCCCCATTGTTGCTCGAGCTCTATAAGAGCCACAGTATTAGCCAGAGCCAGAACCCTCCAGATTGAGGGCCTCTTCTCTTGAACTCTGGCAGCAGGATATCCTAGATACCCTCTGTAATTCATTGGAAGGAACTCAAAGAGTTCCCACCACTGGTCCCAGCTTGGTCCACAGCCAGTCCCTCACTTTGCCTTACAAGAGGCCTCTTCCTGTGTAGCCCAGTTTGTTGGTCATAAGAGTTCTCCTTGATGGACATGCTATTCACCACGATCAAGAGAAGTACTTTTTCAGTCTTACTGCTATGGGTCCCTCATGGAAACCCCTCTGGCAGCTAATCCTTCTTGGCAGCAGCTGGGCCCAACAACTGAGCCCTCCAGTACCAGAGGAAGATCTTCTGTTGGACTGCTAATGGTAGGAGGCCTACAGTCATGCACTGCCCTTCACAGATAGCTGATCCCCCACTGTGAGTCCCAGCTGGATCCATAACTGACCTTTAGCCAAGGCTTCAGTGCCTTTGAGAAGAGACTCTTCTTCTGGGCCAGATTGTCACTAGCTTGTCAAATTCTCTTTACGGTCTTGCCCTGAATGGACCCTCAACATGGCCCCTAAGAGATTTCATTGCCTGTTCACAACAGTAGAATAAAATGTCTGAGGCCTTCAAAGCAGGGAGAGAATGCCCCCCCCCCCAGCACTGGCAGCAGGGACGCTCCAGTCCTCTCGCCCTTACACCACAAGTCCTGTATATTGATCCACTTCACTCGTCTGCTGAGCACGTGTTCTGAAGATGATGGCTGCAGCATGTGCTGGAACACTGGAATGACTTCAACACCCAGCATGGCTAAACCTTGAGGAGTGAAGTTATCCAAGTAAAGGAGTTGATATGAATGCATTCTTCACTTATTGGTCAGTCTATATGAAGGAGAAATCCCTAGATATAGATTAAAGTGTACATTTTGGCAACCAGTAACATTATCAGCAGTTACTTCTCCATTAGATTCGGATGTCTTTATAAGGTACATAGCCAGTCAAAAATTGAACATTCTAGTAGGGAGTGCGTGAGTTTGATTCCACATTAACTTGTAAAAGTGATAAAAATAATTTGAAATTTTCTAGATACCACACAACAGTGTTGGGGTTACATTTGTAAATAATAGTCATGGGAATCACGTGGGGGGGGGTTATTTAATGATGTTTTCAGTATATAGAGGGTATAGCATTGGAGGGTAGGATGGATGACTGATGAACTGGAAAGGAATCAGAAGGAAATGGTCATGGTCTAAATGAGGTACTTAGAGGAGACTCCTACGACACAGGAGTTCACCCCTCTGTAGGTGTGACATGACACCTCCTGGCACCAGTAGGGCTCCATGCCGGTGGCATGTGAGTAGGTTGTCTGAGATAGCATAATGATGGGGTGACTGCAGCAGCATTGATTAAAAACTTTGCTACACCTTAGTTTCTTAAGCGTTATGGTAGGATGCAAGCCATACTTGATCAAAACATTAGGACATGCAATGAGGATAGATGGGAAGCCCAAAATTTTGGACTTTGGTCAGGATATAGTGTCAGTGCTTATGTCTCAGTAAAGTATAAATTCTTTCTGTTTGATGACTCTGGGTGATTTTTTTGTGGGGAGTGTGGTTACCGGACTCCATATCCCTGTCACTTCGTGTTGTGATGATTCCTTTGTTGATCAGTCTGAAGCTACAGAACATGTGAGTACATATTGTCTTGTTTCTGAAGGGTCTTCATCTGGTTCAGATTTCCCCATTGGGTTCATTTTTAGGTGTGTTATTATAACTTAGGAAATGTGTTAGTATTTTTTATTTTGATACACCTTGGAATAGGTGGTAATATGCATCACATGTTTTATTTTAATTTCATTCATTGATCTATTTTGAATGTGTTAATTTCCTTTAAGCATATATAGTTTCTTTTAATATAGTTATACTTTAAGCAATTCAGTCATTGGCACAGTGCAAGCCCCTGCTCTCAGAGATTCACCAGTCAATATTAATCCAAGCCAAGGAAGAGTGTGGGGGTATCCCACACAATGGTACTATCCTAGCATTTGGAGGGACTGGGGAAAACCCTCAGGATAGTTGGTGACCTGGCTGAGGTGACCCAAGCATCTCCCAAATACAGGTTTAAAGGTTCACTTCTGGACCAGCCTGTCTAGTGAATCATGTGAAAACTGTTTCATTGTTAAGGTAGTTTTAATACCTGCTTGGAAATATCGTTAGTCTATGTATTGGTCTCCGCCCAGGTCTTGTTGCTTTTGAACAAAAGTGAAATGTGAAAGAAATGGTTGGAGTATGCATACAGAATTTTCCTTATTTGGAGAACTTGGAATTCTCATATCAGTAACTGTCATAATTTGGAGGAATAAGGTGGGTTTTGAGGTTCATAATTTAAAAAAAGAAATAATTGCCGATTTTGTGGAAATTTGTTTTCTCATAAAGTATGGAAGAGAACACCGTCATTGGGAAAGAGAGTTGATTTATTCATTTATCTGCCCATTGAAACTTACAAACTGCTCATTTGAAGTTGAACAGTTTTTGCAAATTGTTCTTGTCTGTGTATATGAAATTGTAATTTTATAACCAGCTTCTGAGATTTTATACATGTTGCCCAGATAGATCTATTAGTTTTCAGTAATATTGGATACGTGGGTATGTGGAAGATTCATTCTTTTGAATCAATTTGATATCTTGAATTAAGATAATGTATATTAACAGAAATTTGAAATGTGACAGAAACATTTAAAAATTTTAAGAATTAATAATTAAGTTGTAAATGAAGGTATGTGTTTCATAGAAGTACCTTTGTCCTGGCATTGGAAAGTATATGCAGTCCTTTCTAGACATGTTTGCAACAGTAAGTGCCTATTAATCTGCTCAGACTCTCCATCCATCCACATGCATGAAGCTACTTGAGAACTG